ACAAAAATAGGATTACCATGGTAATCTTAAAAACCACCCTTTGAGTTGATAATCACATAAAACCCCTATATCACCTCTCATATTACCTGAGAAATAAAAGATTACCTGGAAAATGAACACTCACAAAGCAAGCTCTGGATAACGACCAGCTTGAAGCAGTCTCATACGTGAGGAGTCTTTTCCATGAGAACGTGTATTCCTCTCTAGCTTTTTCAAGGCGTACTCCGCCACTGGAAGCCAGCTAATGTCTTGGAGAAAAAATAGCACCAGACCATGTATTTGCAGAATCGGGAATTGTCAACAAGCTGGGAGCAGAAAACAAATGGCAAAAGGAAGAAGATTTTTAAAAGATTTGAAGTTTGATAAGGGGGAATCTCATAAAACATCCATCAGCCATGTGCTAGATTAAACAGGTAGTTTCAAATGAATTAAAATTCGTCAAAGTTGTAAGGGTTTATAGCACCGTTTGTGGTTAAAGACTGAGTAGCAAGTAATCAAAGTTAGTTGATTATATAATTTAGCTACATATGAATCAAAAGCAAATTTCAAGAAAGTTAGACTATACAAAAAGTGATTAACACATGCATATATTTTATAAGCAGCTCACCAAAAGAGCTCCTGATAGAGAAATAAATAGAGCAATTTCAGTAAATCAAATGATTGTAAGACCACTGTGAGATGACATGGCTCAAAGTGATTAATCTGGACTGAAAACAGATCCAAATTGAAAATACCATTTTAAATTAGAAGAATGAAAAGTTTTCTCACCTCAATGACCTTGGGATTGCAAAGAGAGAAAGCCTCTACAAAAGGGAAGAAAACAGAAGCACTAAATTAATAGGTTATTAAAAGGCAAAGATTTAACTGGATTATTAACAACCACTTCAGTGGTGAAGAATTTTTAGTAATGCTAACTATAAATTGTATAACAAGCTAAAAAATTGTGGAAAAAAAAACAAAAAATAAGGAGAAACATGAGCAAAAACTAGTCCTCAAGACATAAATCGCAGTGCTTCTCAAATGTCAGTAATTGGCTCATAATAGATCTCGAGATAAATGAGATCACACTATCTTAGGCTGTTAAAGAATAAACCAAGAATTGTACAGCCCATCACGACAGTGTCCTTTGAGATGTTGGGTAAAAGGATGTTCAATCAATTACTCTTCACAGAATGAATCACAGCAAAACATTTACAAATATAAAGAGTATTAGCAACTGACCTTCCATGGTGAGCAATTCCAAGCATCCTATACATTTCCTCTTAATTAGACTTTAGCATTTGCATGAGCATCAGACCCATCATCATTGCCTATCCAAATGACAATTCAAATGTTAATATCACAGACCAAAAACCCTTAAAAGTCCAAAAATATAGCAACATCATTAATTTTATTGGAAACATTATTACAAGCAAAATCTATTCAAATCATACCGCCGATCAGCTCAGACCCAAATTGTGATTTTCTGTCCATTTTGATCTTCAAGCTCCAGATTGAAGTCCTCAACTGGTAATGAACCATCTGCATGTCTCTAACAAGTGCGGTGCAGCTGCCCTATCAGTGGTGTATAAGTTAAGAAGTCAGTAAACATTAAATCTGAGAGAGAAAAGGCTAGTAATTTGATTTTAAAAAAGTAATCTTTTTCCCCTCCGTTCATCATCATCACTTGAAGAGAACAGGGGGAATAGATATCTGAAAAACAAAAACCGTGAGCAGAGAGAGACAATTAAACCGATCAATAATAATCACTCACATTAGGGTACAAACTAAATGTCTTATATTGCTTGATATAATACTGTTCACCACTCAGTTAAAATGGGCAGATTTTACTGCATAGTCAAATACAGTAGACATTTTTAGATTGCAAAAATCCAACTCGGGTTTAACAAAATAGAAATCAACCAGATTACCTACTTAGCGCAATGCTTTGCCAATTATATTCTAGAAGATATAAAAATAAATGACAACAATAAAATTTTTAGTGAAATCTTAGGAATGAGGTACGTAGGGAAAGATAAAAGAGGAAAAGAAAACACAATTTCCTTATTTTGTACAAAGAGAAGAAAAGATATTCTCTCAACTAAGTTTGTACAAGAAACAAAATAAGTTGTGGTAACTACTATAATTTGTTTAAAAGCCAAATTTGTATCGTTTTCAACAGCTTCCAAGACACCAAACAAAGCAGAAATCTAACACAAAGAAATAAAGCACAGACCATGAAGATAATTGAACATCTACCAAATTCAAATCCAATTACAGTGATCTAAAACCCAAAGCTCCTCCATCCAACGCCCAAAAGAGCTTTACAACACGTTTAGAACCCTCCAATGCAATCACTCTTCTCACTCAATCAAACACATTGCCGTCACAAAGGCAGATATCATACACACGCACAAAAACATTACACAAAAGTAATAATATGGGACAAGGAACACAAAACACATATAAGAATCAAAGAAATAAAATTTTCTGACGAATGAGAGCACTATCATTTCTCATACAAAGACACAGTTTATCAAAACCAACAACCCATAATCCACCACAAAAGCTAAAGAATTTTGAATTTTCTCAAACCATTCAACACAGTGAGTCCATGGACTAACTTTCAAAAACACTATTCCGATCAAAACTAATAAGAGGATAATCCAAAATTACAAAATTCAACATGGCGACCAAATTATCTAATTCATCCAAAAGGCCGCACTTTGATTATAAGAACTAACTAAAAAAGAATCAAAACCCAGAAGCAAGATAGAAACTTTAAACAAAGGGGTTGAGAGGCTCACTTGATGCGGGAGAATCTCGAGAACGTCTTCTTCAGCGATCACTCATCCTTCAACGATTGCCCTCGTAACAGAGAGACGAGTGGCGAGAATCTTAGCGTTATTCTGATACCCATTGGCTCAAATTTTCACTGCCATCGCGTCTTTCAAGACTTTTCCAGCACATATCAAGTTGACGGTCTGAGGCAACATGTTTGATCGCTTTGCAACTTCTTCTCGCAAAGGGTATGCTCCGTTTTCCAGTTACCCTCTAACACGCCAACCCACGTGCCTGCTATCTTCAGTTTCGCCATTGAAGACTTCGATTCTACACGAAGTAAGTGAAAGAGAAACTGACTTTATTGTTTGGCTTGAAGAAAAAAGGAGACTTCAGGCTGAAGGATTTGGAAGTGGAGTTGTGTACTATCTTATTATATTATACGTTAAGAGTTGCGAAAAGAGGGCGAGATTTACACAGTATTATTAAAATTCCAATTTATCTTATCTTTTATCAAAGTAAACCAGTCCACTTTCTATAAGAAGTGAGTATTGGCTTCAGAGAGTCACAATTCCACTAATCAAATTTTATCGTTATAAATGTTAGAAGATACTTTCCCATTGTCTAAATCATAATAAATATCACACTAGGGATAGCAGTTTTATTTTGGTTTTAAGACATGACATAGGCATATCAAATAAACTAACTAGACTAATTCCTAATAGGTTGGTTTGATAGTAAAAATATTTACTCCTTTGTTGAGTTTGGGTTCAAACCTTAGGATTACCTACTACATAACACTATGGTTACCTGATCGGCTGATCCTTTGGACTGTAAGGTGTTTAATAGACCTTAGAGATTAATTGAAGACCTTGAGGTACGCGCAAGTTGACCCAGACACCAAGTTACCAAAAAAAAAAAAAAAAAAATTAAACTAAAGCACTCTTATTTGAGAAAATTTAAAGTATTGTAGATACAAGATTTTATCTCATTAAATTAGGATTAAAAGGGTAGTCTCGCATAGATGTATCTTGCTGGTTACCAAAAAAAAAAAAAAAAAAAATCAAACTAAAGAAACATCTCATTTGAGAAAATCTAAAGTATTGTAGATACAAGATTTACCTTATTAAACTAGGGATAAAGGGTAGTCTCGCGTAAGATATATCTTACCGGTTCCAAAAAAAAAAAAAAAATAATCAAAGTAAAGACACATGTCATTTGAGAAAATCTAAAGTATCGTAGATACAAGATTTTACCTCATTAAATTATAATTAAAGGTAGTCTCGCATAGATATACTAACGGTGTACCAAAAAAAAAAAAAAAAAATGAAATCAAAGTAAAGACACATCTCATTGAGAGAAGATCTAAAGTATTGTAAGTACGAGATTTACCTCATTAAATTAGGGTTAAAAGGATAGTCTCGCGTAAATATATTTTTTCGGTTACCCAAAAAAAAAAAAAAAAAAAACTAAAGACAAATCTTATTTGAGAAAATCTAAAGTATTGTAGATACGAGATTTCACCTCATTAAATTAGGGTTAAAATGATAGTCTCGCGTAGATATATCATACGATTACTATAAAGGAAAAAAAAATCAAACTAAAGACAAGTCTATTGAGAAAATCTAAAATATTGGATACGAGATTTTACCTCATAAATAGGGTTAAAAGGGTAGTCTTGCGTAAAATATCCTACGGTTACCAAAAAAAAAAAAAAAATCAAACTAAAGACACGTCTCATTTGAAAAATTCTAAAAATATTATGATACGAGATTTTACCTCATTAAATTATGGTTAAAAGGGTAGTCTTGCAAAAATATCTACCGTACCAAAAAAAAAAAATCAAACTAAAGACATCTCATTTGAGAAAATCTAAGTATTGCAGATACTAGATTTTCTTCATTAAATTAGGGTTAAAGGGTTCTTGCCGCGTAGATATTCCTATCCAAAAAAAAAAAAAATTAAACTAAAGACACATCTCATTTGAGAAAATCTAAAATATTGTAGATAAGATTTTACCTAACTAAATTGGAGTAAAAGGGTAGTCTGATGTAGATAATCCAATCGATAACCAAAAGAAAAAATAAAACAAAAAAAACAATCTCATTTGAGAAAATATAAAGTATTATAGATACAAGATTTGCCTTATTAATTAGGGTTAAAAGAGTTGTCTCAATTAGATATATCCTAATCTATTAAGGAAATTAATGTCCTAACTATAATAGGATAAAAATCCTAGGTAGAAAACAGAAATATGCTGTGATAAAGTGATCATATACTCAGTGAATAAAAGCTTGTCAGAACTGTTTATTTCTACTACTAGAGATTCCAAATAATTAAAGCTTCACCCCATCACCATAAACATAAATATTGACATCTACTTCTGCCTTAATACAACAACACATACCTTATTATTATTATACACGTATTTACCTTGCATTATTGTTAGAAGTTGTGTTTTCTTCTCACTTGGCTGACTCAAGCAGAGCCAAGTACTCATTTATTGCTTCACCTTCTTTTGTAACTTCAATGTCATAGTCCGAAAACGCATCTCCCGTTAATTCATTGGCAAGTTCACCCTCCATCTCTGCATCTCGCTCTTCTATTTCATTTGTCATTGCTGTTGATGTACCTTCAACATCCTCATTGCCACTCAAACTACTTGCACCATCGTTGTTAGGCATTGAAACGGAGGAACTTTCACTGTTGTTACCTGCACATGTGGGGTTTAACCCAGGTTGCTCAAGTAGTCGGGCCATTGCTTGGTCAAAATTGCTACCATCCTGACAAGCTTCAACCACTGAACACAAAAGCACATAAAAACCTCGTAAGAGCCTTGATAGGATACCAAATGCAGGTCTCCTCTGAGTTTATTTGACTGAATAGACATATATCAAATAATATATTTTTTTTATACCAATACAAGATTAGCACAAAACGTATACGGCATACTTCAATACTTCTATTAATCCTAAAATAATAGACAATATGATCTTATTTGACATCTCTACCTCTGAGCCTATTGGCATTGTTTTGTGCAGTTGAAGGCAAAAGGGTTTTCCATCAAATAACAGGAAAAATTATACATACAGGTGCTGATGAAAGAGTACCTTTTGAACGTTCAAAACCCATAGAAACAAGCTGTTCAATTGTAGCATCTGCTGCTTGTCGACGTCTTTTCCTTTTTTTAGATTCAATATGAACCTGCAGTTAAAAAATAAAAAATAAAAAAATAAATTAGTCATGATATATGTCTAAATTTAATTCAAATAGAAAATTTAATGAGAAAAGACAAATAACCTGTAATGCAGAATTTGTTTCTGGATTTGTTAAGTCATCCAATGCTTTTTGAGTGTCATTCTCATTTCTTCGAAGGGCTTCAGCAGCAAGCTCTTTCTCAAACCTGCCAAAATAAGCAAGTTTTTCAACTTTGGTCCAGGACACTTGCATAGCTTGTGCTTTGAACAAATACAACATCATTATATACTAGACAAAAGATCCCTTATACGTTTTTAATATCATATTAAAAAAGAAAGAGAACTGAAGTTTTTTGTATTGCTTACCCAATCGAGACCAATTCTTTTAAGTTTTGGAGATCCACAGCTTTCTTCAAAGGTGTCACTCCATACTTTTTTTGCTCCCTGCAAACATGTTGGCTATTCAACAAAATGATGAAGATATGAACTTATAATAAATTTATTGATCGTTTCCAGGCTTTAATGAGAGAAAAACGATGCAAGTGATACACACATACAGATAGCAAGACATTTTATCATATGTCAGTAGCAGGAAACATGACAGCAAGACCAGATAGACAAACATTCTTCTTATTTTTCTATAGGTATGTTAAGTACTTGGTGTAGTACAAATGAGTCAGTTCGCTAGAATGCTTAAGAAAACATACAGAGATATAAATTTATAGTATTACTTTTTTCTAAGCCTATTGTATTTAACTTTATCAAATAACGCTCACATTATTTCCCTTCTTTGCCGTTCATTATCCTCCCTTTGCTGTGCTCTCTTTGCCTTCTCCTCCACAAGAAAATCAATGGCACTCCCAACATCTTGATTGCTTATTCGCAAAGCCCTCTTTGCATCATGTTCGCTGAAGCCCATGCTGATAACCAAGGATAAGGCTTCATCTGGCACTTGTAGCTGAAATCAACCACAGAATATTGTTTCACCAAAAAAAGAAAATAAGAAGAAACAAATGAAAAAACCTTTTCTTGAGGTATGAACTGACAGCTGGCAACAAACAGAAACACTAGGAAAAAGCTTACAGAGGCCATTCCTCTTTTGTGATTAATATTATATACCTTTAATGCTTTAGAGATATGTAATATAAATATTTCCTTCAATTTACAAAGAATTGAAATAACTATTTTACAATTTAATTCTTTAAGAACAATCTAGCATACAAACTAAGGCAGGTAAACAGAGCAAATTGTTCTCTAATATATTTGGTTTGACCTATATTCCAACTTAATTTCTCTGATCATATAAAGTTTATTCATTATCACCTGAAGGAATTTTGCTTGTGCAGAGGACAATGCCTTCCGAGATTTATCGAACTGACCACTGTGATATGCCACCACCCCTTCCAACAGCTCCATTCTTAAATGTCTACAAAAATAAGATAAAAGGAACTTAGCTTCACAGTGCTGGCCAAAATTATTCCTTGTGGTCAGGAGCATAAAGACTGAAAACGTGAAAATGAACACTCACAAAGCAAGCTCTGGATAACGACCAGCTTGAAGCAGTCTCATACGTGAGGAGTCTTTTCCATGAGAACGTTGTATTCCCTCTCTAGCTTTTTCAAGGCGTACTCCTGCCACTGAAAGCCAGCTAATGTCTTGGAGCAAAAAATAGCACCAGACCATGTCTATTTGCAGAATCGGGACATTGTCAACAAGCTGGGAGCAGAAAACAAATGGCCAAAAGGAAGAAGATTTTTAAAAGATTTGAAGTTTGATAAGGGGGAACTCTCATAACAACGTCCATCAGCCATGTGCTAGATTACAACAGGTAGTTTCAAATAGAATTAAAATTCGTCAAAGTTGTAAGGGTTTATAGCACGTTTGTGGTTACAGACTGAGTAGCAAGTAATCAAAGCTTTAGTTGATTATATAATTTAAACTACATATGAATCAAAAGCAAATTTCAAGAAAGTTAGACTATTACAAAAAAGTGATTAACACCTGCATATTATTTTATAAGCAGCTCACGAGAAGAGCTCCTGATAGAGAAATTAAATAGAGCAATTTCAGTAAATCAAATGATTGTAAGACCCCACTGTGAGATGACATGGCTCAAAGTGATTAATCTGGACTGAAAACAGATCCAAATTGAAATAACCATTTTAAATTAGAAGAATGAAAAGTTTTCTCACCTCAATGACCTTGGGATTGCAAAGAGAGAAAGCCTCCTACAAAAGGGAAGAAAACAGAAGCACTAAAATTAATAGGTTATTAAAAGGCAAAGATTTAACTGGATTAATTAACAACCATCTTCAGTGGTGAAGAATTTTTAGTAATGCTAACCCTATAAATTGTATAACAAGCTAAAAAAATTGTGGAAAAAACAAAAAAAGGAGAAACATTGAGCAAAAACTAGTCCCTCAAGACCATCAAATCGCAGTGCTTCTCAAAATGTCATGTAATTGTGTCTCATAATAGATCTCGAGATGTAAATGAGATTCACACTATCTTAGGCTGTTAAAGAATAAACCAAGAAATTGTACAGCCCCATCACGACAAGTGTCCTTCTGAGATGTTGGGTAAAAGGATGTTCAATCAATTACTCTTCACAGAATGATATCACAGCAAAAACATTTACAAAATATAAAAGAGTATTAGCAACTGACCTCTCCCATGGTGAGCACTTCCAAAGCATCCCTATACATTTCCCTCTTAATTAGACTCTTAGCATTTGCATGAAGCATCAGACCCATCATCATTGCCCTATCAAATGACAATTCAAATGTTAATATCACAGACCAAAAACCCTTAAAAGTCCAAAAATATAGCACATCATTAATTTTATTAGAAACATTATTACAAGCAAAATCTATTCATATATCATACCGCCGATCAGTCTCAGACCCAAATTGTATTTTCTGTCCATTTTGATCTTCAAGCTCCAGATTGAAGTCCTCAACTGGTAATGAACCATCTGCATGTCTCTTAACAAGTGCGGTAGCAGCTGCCCTATCAGTTGGATGTATAAGTTAAGAAGTCAGTAAACATTAAATCTGAAGAGAAAAGACTAGTAATTTGATTTTAAAAAAGTAATCTTTTTCCCCTCCGTTCGTCAGCATCACTTGAAGAGAACAGGGGGAATAGATATCTGAAAAACAAACACTGTTGAGCAGAAAGAGACAATTATAACCGATCACTAATAAGTCACTCACATTAGGGTACAAACTAAATGTCTTATATTGCTTGATATAATATCTGTTCACCACTCAGTTAAAATGGGCAGATTTTACTGCATAGTCAAATTCAAGTAGACATTTTTAATATTGCAAAAATCCAACTCCGGGTTTAACAAAATAGAAATCAACCAGATTACCTACTTAGCGCAATGCTTTGCCAATTATATTACTAGAAGATATAAAAATAAATGACAACAATAAAAATTTTAGTGAAAATCCTGAGGAAACGAGGTACTTAGGGAAAAGATAAAAGAGGAAAAAGAAAACACAATTTTCCTTATTTTGTACCAAGAGAAGAAAAGATATTCTCTCAACTAAGTTTGTACAAGAACAAAAATAAGTTGTGGTAACTACTATAATTTGTTTAAAAGCCAAATTTGTATCGTTTTCAACAGCTTTCCAAGACACCAAACAAAGCAGAAATCCTAACACAAAGAAATAAAGCACAGACCATGAAGATAATTGAACATTCTACCAAATTCAAAATCCAATTACAGTGATCTAAAACCCAAAGCTCCTCCATCCAACGCCCAAAAGAGCTTTACAACACGTTTAGAACCCTCCAATGCAATCACTCTTCTCACTCAATCAAACACATTGCCAGTCACAAAGGCAGATATCCATCACACCGCACAAAACCATTACACAAAAAGTAATTACATAATGGGACAAGGCAACACAAAACACATATAAGAATCAAAGAAATAAAATTTTCTGACTGAATGAGAAGCACTATACATTTCTCATACAAAGACACAGTTTAATCAAAACCAACAAACCCATAATCCACCACAAAAGCTAAAGAATTTTGAATTTTCTCAAACAATTCAACACAGTGAGTCCATGGACTAACTTTCAAAAACACTATTCCGATCAAAACTAATAAGAGGATAATCCAAAATTACAAAATTCAACATGGCGACCACATTATCTAATTCATCCAAAAGGCCGCACTTTGATTATAAGCAACTAACTAAAAAAAGAATCAAAACCCAGAAGCAAGATAGAAACTTTAAACAAAGAGTGTTGAGAGGCTCACTTGATGCGGGAGAATCTTCGAGAACGTTCTTCTTCAGCGATCAACTCATCCTTCAACGACTTGCCCTCGTCAACAGAGAGACGAGTGGCGAGAATCTTAGCGTTATTTCTGATACCCAATTGGCTCAAATTTTCACTGCCATCGCCGTCTTTCAAGACTTTTCCAGCACATATCAAGTTGACGGTCTGAGGCAACATGTTTGATCGCTTTGCAACTTCTTCTCGCAACATGGGTATGCTCCAGTTTTCCAGTTCCACCTCTAACACGCCAACCCACGTGCCTGCTATCTTCAGTTTCGCCATTGAAGACTTCGATTCTACACGAAGTAAGTGAAAGAGAACTGACTTTATTGTTTGGCTTGAAGAACAAAGGAGACTTCAGGCTGAAGGAAGTTTGGAAGTGGAGTTGTGTACTATCTTATTATATTATACGTTAAGAGTTGCGAAAAGAGGGCGAGATTTACACAGTGATTTTATTAAAATTCCAATTTATCTTATCTTTTATCATAGTAAACCAGTCCACTTTCTATAAGAAGTGAGTATTGGCTTCAGAGAGTCACAATTCCACTAATCAAATTTTATCGTTATAAATGTTAGAAGATACTTTCACATTGTCTAAATCATAATAAATATCACACTAGGGATAGCAGTTTTATTTTGGTTTTTAAGACATTGACATAGACATATCAAATTAAACTAACTAGACTAATTCCTAATAGGTTGGTTTGATAGTAAAAAATATTTACTCCCTTTGTTGAGTTTTTGGGTTCAAACCTTAGGATCACCTACCACAATAATATTATGGTTACCTGATCCTTTGAACTTATAAGGTGTTTAATAGACCTTAGAGATTAATTGAAGACCTTGAGGTACGCGCAAGTTGGCCCAGACACCTAAGTTACCAAAAAAAAAAATCAAACTAAAGACACATCTCATTTGAGAAAATTTAAAGTATTGTAGATACAAGATTTTATCTCATTAAATTAGGATTAAAAGGGTAGTTTCGCATAGATATATCTTGCTGGTTACCAAAAAAAATAAAATCAAGCTAAAGAAACATCTCATTTGAGAAAATCTAAAGTATTGTAGATACAAGATTTTACCTTATTAAATTAGGGATAAAGGGTAGTCTCGCGTAGATATATCTTACCGGTTCTCAAAAAAAAACTAACTAAAGACACATCTCATTTGAGAAAATCTAAAGTACTGTAGATACGAGATTTCACCTCATTAAATTAGGGTTAAAATGATAGTCTCGCGTAGATATATCATACCGATTACTATAAAGGAAAAAAAGAAATCAAACTAAAGACACATCTCATTTGAGAAAATCTAAAATATTGTAGATACGAGATTTTACCTCATTAAATTAGGGTTAAAAGGGTAGTCTTGCGTAAATATATCCTACCGGTTACCAAAAAAAAAAAATCAAACTAAAAACACGTCTCATTTGAAAAAATCTAAAATATTGTAGATACGAGATTTTACCTCATTAAATTATGGTTAAAAGGGTTAGTCTGCAAAAACTATCTACCGAATACCAAAAAAAAAAAATCAAACTAAAGACATCTCATTGAGAAAATCTAAAGTATTGCAGATACTAGATTTTCTTCATTAAATTAGGGTTTAAAGGGTTCTGCGCGCGTAGATATTCCTATCCAAAAAAAAAAAAAATAAACTAAAGACACATCTCATTGAGAAAATCTAAAATATTGTAGATATAGATTTTACCTAACTAAATTGGATAAAGGGTAGTCTGATGTAGATAATCAATCGATAACCAAAAGAAAAAATAAAACAAAAAAAACATCTCATTTGAGAAAATATAAAGTATTATAGATACAAGATTTGCCTTATTAAATTAGGGTTAAAAGAGTTGTCTCAATTAGATATATCCTAATCTATTAAGGAATAATGTCCTAACTATAATAGGATAAAAATCCTATTCTAATTTCTATTACACCAGAATCATGCCTTATTCAACTCCTTATACTAAAAGGAAAAATCTAACCATATATGGACTCTTTAATATTATCATTCTATGAGAAACTTCCATCTTCCTATTTCCTCTGAACCATTCACCCTACCAAAGGAAGGTCACCTAAGTAAAGGACTCATATTTACTCTCTTAATATTATATCCTACGAGTGTCTTGACTTGAACGTCTTGTCAATGCACCCTACCGTTTTCTGTGCTTAGTAGAGATTAGTTTTCTTGCAAGTACTGTTTTTGTGCTTGTAGGGATCCAAATAGTAGAGAACAATGTTCTTGCAAAGTTCCAAAGCGAATTAGTGGAGACTAGGTACTGTTAGCAGAGTTGACAGGTCACTGTGAAGTAGAGGAAGGACATAAAAGGGACTTCTATATGCAATTCTGCATCACAAGTACTATGATAGTATAAATTAATGTTTGCTTTCTTTAAAATAAACATAAAAATTAAGGCCGCATTAAATTAAGCAAAATGAAAAAAACCGAATAGTTGAGGGTTTTATGTTGTTTTGCAATATCTAATTGTTACGTATTTAAAGATGTTGGAGGTGGTAATTCACTCACGGATTTCTTGGTGGTAGCAGCAATGAAAATTTTAACTACATGTCATTAGGGGTTTTGACACAAACCATAATCTGAACAGTTGGTGTGAAAGATGTTAGGGAGTGAAAAAAAAAAAAAAAAGCAGCCAGCAGACATAAATACACCAGGCCCGGACCTGGAAAATCAGGCCTGAGCCATGAGGTCTACCTAGGCCGGGAATATTATATAAGTTTATTAGTAAAAGTAGAAGAGAGTAATGCTAAAGTTACTGAAGGGTGTGCACCGAATTTATGCACTGAATGACGTGGCACAATCCTGACCATTGATTTATTATAAGTTAATAAATCAACGGTAAGATTTTGTCACCCATTCGGTGCACAAATTGGTGTAAAAATTTCGGTAACTCTATCATTTTTTAGAGAAAACCCGCAGGCTCATAGGGACGTAGCCTGTGGTACACACTTTCTTTGGTTGGCCACTTGGGTTTGAATCGTTGGTGTGGGGGATAGGATAGAGGTTCAAAATGCTTTGGGCAATGACCCACCCCCTACTTTTTTGTGAAAAAAACATAACCCTTATAAAAAAAAATTTGAAACCCTTAAAAAATTACAACCGCCCCTATAAACTATTCAAACCTTTTAAAATAAAATATAATCAATAATCTCTTAAGGGTGCATTTGGTTTCAACAATGTTTTATTACCAAAAAGATAAATTACCAGTGAGATAGATAACTTTGAAGATTAATGAATATAGATTATTATGTGTATGGTTTGTGTAGACTGTATAATAATTAAGGGTGCGTTTGGTTTAGTATTTTGATAGGATTTTAGGGATAGTATTGGGTTATTGGATATGGGAGTATTACGAGATAAATTTTAAAAATTTGTAAAAAAGCCCTTAAGTTTACTAATTTAACTAAAGACCCTAACATATAAAATGACAAAAACACTCCCACCACCTGCAGTGTCAGATTCCGGCCACCAGCCGGAATCTGGCCGAAAATTTCGTTACGACACAGACTTGTGGATCTGTGCCGTAACACTTCGTTTGGCCTTTTCCGGCCAGATCTTACGGTTGTTATGGCCGTCGACGGCCGGAAAAGGCCAAACGAGGGCCATCTTTGGCCATCAGCGACGACCAAAGATGGGCCGTCGTTGAACGTCAACGACGACCATTTCTTGGCCGCCGCTGACGGCCAGATCGGCCTTTTCCGGCCAGATCGTGGTGGATCTGGCCGGAAAAGGCCACAGCGGTGAATTCCGGCCATTTCTGGTCGGAAGTTAGCCGTTGTACAGATTCCGGCTATCACCGACGGTGGTTGTCGGAATCTGACAAGTTGGGTTGATGGGGGTGTTTTTGTTAATTTTAAACTTTTTTTCAGGGGGTATTAGTGAAATTATAACCTTATGGGGTTAAAATGTAATTAAAAAAATAGGGTAATATTTCTAGAATATTGTACCAAACATTATTTGGAGAATAGGATCCCGAATAGGGATAAAAATATTAAACCAAACATGCAGAATATGTTTGGTTAGTAGTAATTACAAAATACATAGATATGATTTTACTGAAATGCATTTACAAGATTATTTATATACATATATGGCATTTTTGTCCAAATATTAAATAATGACGTTAAAGAAGTCATTCAACAAGTTGGGTAATTGTTATTTGATATCAATAGGAGGACATTTGTGTTTAGAGTTATCAATTAAGGGTAAATTGGAACAAAAATAGGATTACCATGGTAATCTTAAAAACCACCCTTTGAGTTGATAATCACATAAACCCCTATATCACCTCTCATATTACCTGAGAAATAAAAGATTACCTGCAAACCAAACGGGTAATGACAAAAATAAAGATAGATTACTGAAGTAATCTTCTAATGGTCCTAACCAAAGTAACCAAAATTTACATCCAAACCCTACCGTGCGTTTGATTCAGGAAATATTATATACATAGGAATGTTATATTAATGGAATATAAATTATTTTAAGGGTGGATTTGGTTCAATGAATGTTTGATTACTGAAACATTAGATTACCTTGAAGTATTGGGAATCTTTAGGAAAATATGTTTGGTTAGTTGGAATAAATTGATGGGTATGTTATATTAATATGTTTGGTTGGGCGGAATAAATTGGTGGATATATTATTTAAATACTAAATTACGCTCTTTTTAAATATATAAATATTGTTATTATTAATTTTTGAATAATTCTTTTAACCCAACATTTAAGATTTAGCTAAAACACCCTTGCTTATATAAAACTTTAATTTATAACAAAATCACCCCCACCACCCGAAGCCACTGCCCGCCATTGTCGACTGCCATGGGAAGTCACCAGAAGTCGCTTGGAGTCACCGTGAGTAGCCCACTGTAATCGAGAGGCTTCAATATGGTCGTATCTGGCCATATCGAAGCCTTCTGGTTACGGTGGGCTACTCACGGCAACTCCAAGTGACTTCCGACAACTTTACGCGGCAGCCGATGGTGGTTTGGCTGGCGGCAAGCAGAGACAGGTGGGTGGGGGTGGTGGCTTGGGTGAGCTGCAATTTGTTTTGACTTCAAGGGTAATTTTGTCAAAAAATTTAATTAATTGGGATGAAATAGTAAAATCTAATTCATGTAAATTAATTTAAAAAAATTGAGGTTATCAGATTACTTCCAATATTATCAATAGTAACTACTATTGGTATTAGAAGATTACCAGAATCTTATATTACTTGACAACCAAACGTAGTAATTAAGTAATATAAGATGACTTAACCCTAATCCTATATAACCTCCAACTAAACGCCATTTAAAGATTATTGAGAATGTTTAGGGAAATGTGTTT